TTACAGGAGATATATCCAGAATTCATAATATTAACCATAATATGCCTTGGACTTCTTAAAGGTGCATATCGCTTTTAACTAACCAATGGGAGACCACCTGAACAAAACAAGAGAAAAACTGGCAACGGGAGGCATCGTGGGAATGACATAATGAGCAATCTTGGATTCCTACTGTCTAATTTACCTAAATGAATTCCTTCCTGCATAAATTAAAACAACACTTACCTCTGACTATGCTGGATAGCCTCAAAGAAAGTAGCTTGGGGGTAAAGATAGTTCTGATCCAGAGCAAGAGCAGGTTGGGTAGGACCTATATGAGATAGCAGATACAAGAGAAAGAGGTTGAAACGTCCAAAGGTTGGTAGCTCAAAGATCTCAAAAGTGATTCGAACTATTTTAGGAAACAGAACTGTTCAGAAGCTAGCATTTGTCTGTAGGCATTGTTGCTATGTGTGATGGAAGCATTATCTTGTGTCTTTATGGCATGAGTAGACTGGGGGAGGGGAATGAAAAACTCTGGGAATAAAGATTGACAGTATCAAGTCCTATCTTTTAATATACCTGAATACGGTGGAAAGGTAGCTCTAAAATGCAAATCTGAGGCAACAGACTAGGTAACGAGATAATTCCTTTCACCAAAAATAATTTATTTTAAAATCCAGGCAAAGGGTAAGGGAGCAAGGGGCTTTGGAGAACTAGCAAGAGAGAGAGAAAGATCTAGACTAAGATCCAGAAGATGAAAACCCAAAAGGAAAACCTGTATTGGGACTGCTTTTTGTCTGGGGGGATTTTCCTGTCAGTTCTTAAAGAAGCAGTCAAGAGGCTGAGAAGTTTGCTTTTTTGTGACACTCAAGGAACCTGAAAAGTAAATGTTGAAATCCAGGGCCCGGAAGAGGAAGCAGGAGGTAGATTTAGTAAAACAGCTTTTGCCCCACTTTGAACCCTAAAGAACAGTACCAAGAACAACAAATCATCTCAGTCCCAGAAATTATACTAGGACGATCATATATGAAATTATATATGAATATAAATGGATATATATATATCCATGTACACATACATAGATATACACACACATATACCTTTACACATGTGTAATTACACATATGTATCAAATATATAATCTACCCTCAGCCATGCCATAGTATAATAGCTGAAACTCAAAGAAAAAGAGAATAATTTTAAATCAGAGAAAAGAGATTACCCTCAAAGCAATGTCAAAAAGGTAATACCAAGTTTCACAGGTAAGTTCTCAGTAGAAAGAGTGGAATGCTACATATAAAGAAATATATCTTGCAAAAACAGAAGGTAATTGTCAACATAGCCTTCTACCTCCAGCAAAAATTGGCTTCAAAAATAAAGCTGAAATATCCTTATTTTCAGCAACAAAGCTGAGAGATTATGTCACCCAAGAGATCTTCCTCATACTAAAAGGTGTTCTCTAGACCAAGAGCAAAACATCCCAGAGAGAAGCTCAAAAGTGCAGGAAGAAATGAAGAGAAGCCGAAATATAAACACGTGCATAAATGTAAATGTATATTGACTATATAACAATAATAATAACATCTTGTGAGATTTAAAATTAAAATATACAATATAATCATCTGTTAAGCCTTGAGTGTGGGGCCCACGAATGGAGTTGAATGGAGGAAAACTGTATTAAGTGGTTCTAATCTCTACATTGTCCAAGAAGAGACATAATTGCCAGTTAAAATTAGATTCTGATAACTAAAGAATGCATGTTGTCTAATGCACGCTAGTAATCCTCAAGAGAATGATCATGGAACATGTAACGTCGAAGCCAATCAAGGAAAGGAAGGAATAATATAAAATGCTCACTCAATTCAAAGTAGTCCAGAAGTGAAAGTGGGATTTGGAACAGGCAGAAACAATGGGAAATGCATATGGAATTGAATCTATTAGTAATTACATTATATAAAAATTCGAAGACAAAGTTTAGCAGACTGGATTAAAAGATAAAACTCTGAGCTTTTTACAAAGTTTTATTAGTAATTACATTATATAAAAATTCAAAGACAAAGTTTAGCAGACTGGATTAAAAGATAAAACTCTGAGCTTTTTACAAAGGACATATTTTAAAATATAGAGACTCATGTAAAATATAAAGATAGATTAAAAGGAAAAGGATAGAGCTATACCATTCAAATACTTCCTAAAGAAAGCCTAAATAAGCATATTAATGTTAGAAAAAGTAGTCTTCTAGGCAACAAAAATACCTAGAAATAAATAAAGAATAGTGCTTTATAATGATACATATTTCAATTTGCCCAGATTTAACAGTTCTAAATCTGTATTCATCTAATACATGGCCTAAGAATATATAAGCAGAAACTGACAGAATTGTAAGAAAAAATGGTTAAATTCATAATTATCGTGGGAGATTTTAATACGTTTTTTTCCCTAAAGTTAATTTATCTGGGGGCAGGGGAGGGACAAAGAGAGAGGAGAAGAGAAAGGATATTAAGTAGGCTCCAAACCAGCAGCTCAGAGCCTGACATAGGGCTGGAACTCAGGATCTGTGAGGTCATTACCTGAGCCTAAACCAATTGTCAGTCACGTCATGGACTGAGCCACCCAGGCACCCCAGAGATTTTCATATTACTCTCTTGATAAGATAAATTCGTTAAGCAATTCATTAAGAATATAGAAAATTTGAACTATAAAATTAACCACGTGAGCCATTAATCTATACAGAATACTATATTAAAAGACTGCAGATTATACATAATATTAAGGGCATATATAAAAGTTGACAAATGCTATAATAAAATGTAGAAATTAAGCTAGAAATCGATAACAAGATTAGATTAAGAAATACAGTTCTAAAGAGCCAATAGGTTAGAGAAGAAATAACAGAAATTGGAAAACATTTGGACTGAGTGATAATGAAATCTACATATAAAATTTATGGATGCATTTATAGTCCTGTAAGGGGGACATGTGTAGATTTTAATATATATTTTGGAGAAGGATGATGATAAAAATCAAGGATCAAAGCATCCATTTTAAAGTGAGAGAAATAAGTTCCAGGTAGATTTTCGATCTATTGTGAAAGATAAAATAGTAATGGGTTTCTAGGAGATAAGAGAATTTCTTCATGACTTTGGTGCAGTCAAAGATTTTTAAGCAAAACAGAACAGAAACACACACTAGCTACCAAGGAAAAGATTGATAACCTCAACTACATTGAAATTACCTTCCGTTCATGAGCAATAACCCACAAAAGGGAAGGTCCCAGTGAAGGATGATATGCAATATAGAAGCAATAAAGGACTCATATGACAAAGTGTATAAAAGCGTCTTCAAACCAGTGAAAAAAGACAACTCAATAGAACAATAGGCAAATGATTTGAATAGACATTTCATAAAAGAGGACATACAAAGGGTTACCCAGGGAAATGCAATTAAAACCACAATAAGACACTACCACACGTTCGCCAGAATGAATAAAATTATAAAGGCTGATAATGCCAAGTGTTTGGACCAATGGGAGCTTTCAAACAGTACAGGTGCAAGCATAAATTATTATCTATTTTAGAAAGTAATTTAAATTATTAAATTTTATAATTTTTAAGCATGGGAAGGGAAGAGAGAGAAAAAGAAAAAGAACCCCAAGCAAGCTCTGTGCTGTCAGCACAGAGCCCAGCATGGGGCTGGATCTATAACCATGAGATCATGATTGAGCCAACATCAAGAGTTGGATGATTGAGCCAACATCAAGAGTTGGATGCTTAACCAACTGAGCCACCCAAATGCCCCAATGGCTTGGCAGTTTTTGTTAGCTGAAAATACACACACTGTCTAATGAGAAATCCCAATCCAAGGGATATGGTCAGCAGATATGTACCATGAACAAGAGTGTTCATTGCAGCATGATTTTAATAATTAGAACCTGGAAATAATCTAAATATCTGTCGGTAGTAAAATGAGTAAATTTTGCATATTTATACAAATGAATATTATATGCCAAGGAAAATGAACAAATTTCAGCTACATGTGATGACATGAATATGTATATACAAAATGTTAAGCAAAGAAATGAGGTATGTGTATACAAAATATACTGTTTGTTTCCATTTGCATAAGTTTTAAAAAAGAAAACCAAACCATAGGATTAAAAGGTGCATCTTTAAGAGCACCTAAATCTATAAAGGAAAGGATGAAAACGGCCACCATAAAAGTCAGATAATGGTCACCTTTGGCAAAAAAAAAAAAAAAAAAAAAAAAAAAANAAAAAAAAAAAAAAAAAAAAAAAAAAAGCACAAATTATGGATCAGAAGGAAAGACAAGGCGTCAGGAGTTCTGGCAATATTCTACTTCTTTACCCAAGTGTTGGTTCCACAGTTCCACAGCTGTTTGCTCTGTGATAATTTTTTTAAAAACTGAGTTTTACGTTTTATGTTTCATGCTTTTCTCTGTATGTACATATTATTTCACATTAAAAGGGTACATACGATACTCTGATTATGTAAACAGATCCCCTTGACTTCAGGCTCTTAGAGTTTCATCTATTTAGCTCGGTTTCAAGGCCCTTTGGAAGTCTGCCCCAGCCGACCCCACTCACCCTGTCCCTCTCCTACTCACGCTTAACGGTAACTACTGTTATAGTTATGGCAAACTAACTACAGCTTCCAGAACATAGGACCTCTCATCTTCGTGTCTATTGCAAATACTGTTTTTTAAATTAAAACTCTCTCCCCATCCTCATTCATCTAATCAAGTTTTAGCTATTTTTCAAGACGTACTTCTTCCTGGATGCTTCTCTGCTCTTCCTTTGGGTGACCTGTGTGGACACATGATTCCCCTGTGATAACATTTCTGTATCCCACAGGACAGTGTGTTCTTTGAAAGTGGAGAATATTTCTTATTTCCCTGTATGTCTTTTGAGCTTTAGGGCCTGACATGTGGTAGATAGCCAATGATTTATCAATGAATAAAAACAGAACAGTGATAATTTTTATCTTTTTTGTGTTACCCAGGTGGATAACGAACGATTGGATTTAGAGAGCAAAGACGTTGAAAGCATTGATGCCTCCAAATTAAGCCGCTTCATTGAGATCAACAGCCTCCACTTGGTGACAGAGTACAACCCTGTGGTAAACAATAGCCCTTGGTTCCAGACCCTTCGGTCCCTAGTCAGGGAGGGTACTTGCCTCCATACAGAGATCCTTCCCTCCAGGAGTTCCAATCCTTGAGCCAATAATAACAGTATCTAATATTAAGGGAACACTTCGCTGTTTATGTTGCAAACTTTACTCCAACTCTTTACGTTTGATAGACTGGTCCCTCTTCAACAAAGAAAGAAACAGAGTTAGAAACCTTAAACACTCATCAGACGACGAGTAAGGAAGAGAGCCAGGATGTAGAGTCAAGTGACGGAGTCAAAAACTTCTGAGTTTTGCTGCCCGAGAGTGTCCACTAAAAACAACTCATCCAAGCCACACTCTAGACCACGCTTTTCAAACAAAATTGTAATCTATGCTGAAGGCCCGCTTTTTTCCAAAGGCATCAGTGACTAATCCTCTTGCAAAATACAATGAAAGTAAATTAATAGACAAATGAAATATTAAAAAATAAAGCCCACGGATCACAAATTTGGATGTTAGAGCAATGCAGAATTTCTACGAAAGTTTTTAAAACCTTCTCCTGCCTCCTTGTCGACCTGTAACTGACAGTTCTTGGTCTGGCATCCCCTGCGCATCCTAGACCCTCACAGTAACGTGGCTTTCTTTGTAGGTTTATCTTCTTTTGGTATTGCATGTTGCATACCGCCTGGGTGAAGGCTTTGGTCCACCCATTCTGATCATCTGGTCACCTAACAGTCTACAGTATACACAATGAATTACCTTCCATGTCCTGTCTTTCCTTTTCCCTGATATAGAAGTGATAAAGTATTGATTTCCATTGACCTCATCAGTTCTGAAATGCTGTGCATTCTCTAATATCAGTACTTTAGAGCACGTCGTGGTTTTTGGAACTCACAAAGCCAATTCACGCCCATTTTCTCACTTAATTTCACATTGAGTTTTTGAGGCTGAAGAGAGATAATTACTATGCCCATTTTATCAAGGTGCACAGTTAAGATCCAAGTGACCTACTCAAGGTCACATAGTAATAGGAAAGGTGGAACTGAAGGTAGAAATTTTCACTCCTGATGCACTAGCTTAGATTGTCTACTCCCATTTCACAGGAAAGAAAAGAGAGTTCAGAAAAGGGAAGTAAGTTCATCAAGGCCATATGACTAGCAATTTGAGCTTCAGAAACAGCCCTCTGGGCTTGTCCCTGCTTTTCTTCATGATCAGTCTGACAGAATCCTGTGGTTTTTCCATTGCCCCATACAGCCTTCAGTAGGAAACATCTCTTTTCCTGTTGACTAAATTCCTGTCCATCTTTCACACCTCCTTTGTCTTCATAGAGTGGTGACTCCATTTCCACTTTTGCTAGGATTTCAAACACACGCACCTCAGGGGTGTTGGCAGAAATAACTTAAAAAAAGCAGTTTTCTCCTAGGCCATCATCATTCTCATGATTATAGTTGTAAAGGTCAGGAGTGCCTGTGGGAAAAGAAAAGCTGATCTGATAGTCCCTAGGTTTATGGCCTCGGGGTCCTGGAGTTCTGCGGGCTAACTGAGCAAGGACTGGCCTTCCTGAGTTCTGCCTGGTTCATCTCTCATCTTACAAAATAATGACATATTATTTTAATTCCACATTAGTAGTGAGAGAAAATCACACCAAGAAGAAATCAGGTAAGAATTCCTTTAGGAAAGCAAGTTTAACTCTTGTTGTGACTTCCACATTTCCCAAAGGTGATATTTTTCTCATTTGGTGACCTGCCTCCACTACTATAGCTATTTCTCATCTGCTGCTGATGCAGAGGTTTGCACCAGTAACAAGGGGGAGACAGAAACTCACAACCATGTATTAAGCCAGCAGGATACTTTTAATGCACACACTCGATACTTAGCTTCAGGGTGGAAAATCAGACTGTCTGTTAAGATTAAGTTAATCACTTCTGATATGCGCGACCCCTTCTGTTAAGACAGCTGCACCTTTTGACTCCTTAGCTTTGATTTCTTGACTTCTCCCAGGTTATCCCCACCTCTGCTCTAGCAGGATACATGCATGCTTTACGTTTAAGTATCAGGGTCCAGTGAAACAAGAGACTATTATTTAATATCCAATCTCCCAAATTTAAAGCCTAAGAACTGGCTTTAAACTCCAGGTAGAGGGGCACCTGGGTGGCTCAGTTGGTTGGGCGACCTTCAGGTGTTGGGATTAAGCCCTGCATCGGCTTCCACCCTAAGTGTGGACCCTGCTTAAGATTCTCTCTCTCTCTCTCTCTCTCTGTCTCTCTCTCTCTGTCTCTCTCTCTCTCCCCCTTTGCCCTTTCCGCTACTCTCTCTCTAAAATATAAACAAACAAACAAACAAATTCCAGGGAGAAAGTTTTAGGAAAGAGCTCAATGAACCCTCCTTGCCTACATGTTGGCCACTACTACTGGCGAATCTCCACAGAGTAGTGTGTAGCTTCCAGAAGATTCCTACATAGCTGTCTCCCCTTCTCAGCATCCTGGGACTCTGCCTGATCGTTCATTCATCCACCATACTCTCTTCCTGTACACTTGCTGGTTTGATAGCAATGCTTTCTGTAGTTAGGAGGGGGAGGTGAAAAGGGATGGGGTTTGTCTAAAACAGAGACTCCTGGAGCACTGTTTCAGGAAAAGAAAGAAAGTGAAGTGGGGCACCTGGATGGCTCAGTTGGTTGTGTCTGGCCTCAGCTCAGGTCATGATCTCACAGTTTGTGAATTCAAGTCCCGCATCGGGGTCTGTGCTGACAGCCTGGAGCCTGGAGCCTGGAGCTGCTTCGGATTCTGTGTCTCCCTCTCTCTGTCCCTCCCTCCACTCACGCTCTGTATCTCTCTCTCTCTCTCAATAGTTAATAAACATTTAAAAGGAAAAGAAAAAAAGTGAAGGGAGCCAGTGCTATAGTTTCATGCTGTCTCTTCTCCTCACTCTGGCTCATGGCTGTCCTGCTTCCCTCCATCACAGACAATTTCATGGGAAATCACCATCTCTAATCAGCAAAAAAAAAGGGCCAATGCTTCTGGCCTCCTGAAGAGCTTATCTTATTTCTAAGGTTTCAGGCAAATGGCCTTCATTTGAGTCGGTTTAGATAGGGTTTTGCAATTAGCTATGTATAAGGCAGGACATCCGGATGGTTAAGAGCATGGACTCTGGGGCGCCTGAGTGGCTCGGTTGGTTGAGCTTCTGACTCTTGATTTTGGCTTAGGTCATGATCCCGGAGTCGTAGGATAGAGCCCTGTGTCGGGCTCCACACTGAGCATGGAGCCTCCTTAAGCTTCTCTCTCTCCCCCACTGCCCTTCTCCTCTGCTCTCACTCTCTCTCTCTAAAAAAATAAAAAATAAAGAGCATGGACTCTGGAGCCAGACTGCCTGGTATGAATCCCAGTCTACCATTTATGTAACTTTGGGAGAGTTTATGCCTTCATTCCCTCACCTATAAGACTGAAACCTTGGGGGCGCCTGGGTGGCTTAGTCGGTTAAGCGTCCGACTTTCCCTTAGATCATGATCTCGCGGTTCGTGGGTTCGAGCCCTGCGTCGGGCTCTGTGCTGACTGCCGGCTCAGAGCCTGGAGCCTGTTTCAGAGTCTGTGACTCCCTCTCTCTCTGACCCTCCCCTGCTCACGCTGTCTCTCTCTCTCTCTCCTAGAAATAAATAAAACATTAAAAAATATTAAAAAAAAAAACTGCAACCTTGAGGGTTAAATTAGTTATCATATGTAAAGACCTGGAAACAGTGCCTAGCACGTAACAAGCATTCAAAAGTGTATCTGAGTGCTCTTGCGACACGGAAAGGGACTGAGAAAAAGTAACTGATATGTTACAAGACAGATTTGTTGTCTACTGGTATATAACAGATTACTCCAAAATTTATCAGCTTAAAACAGTAAAATTTTATTATCTCACAGAGTTCTTGTGGATTAACAGTTTGGGGGTGGGGGGTCTGGGCTAGGTGCTTCTGATCCGGGGGTTCTTGTGAGGTTGCAGTCACTGGTCAGAGAGGTAGTCAGTCATCTGAGGGTTGAAGTAGGGCTACAGCATCTGCTTCACATGACTGGCAAGCCAGTGCCGGCTGTCAGCAGGAGGCCTTCGTTTTGTGCTGTGTGAATCTCTTCATAAAGTGGACTTGAATGTCCAACACTGAGACTGGCTTTCCCCAGAGAGAGTGACAGAAGAGAGAAGAAGGCAGGAGCCACTATGTCTTTTATGACTTCACCTTGAAAGTCACGCTCCATCATTTCTGAGTATCCCACTGGTTGCTTGGCTCAACCTTACTCATAATGGGCAATAGGGATCTATACGGTTTTATGACAGCCAGAAGGGAGACTTATGGAAGGCCAAACTGAAGGCTAGTTCTCATTTATATTTCAGCCTACTTATTTACTGGGTTGCCACTTAGGTATTTTTTTATCCTTGTCTCTTTCATTTAACTATAATACCCTTCAATTTACCAGACTGCGATTGGCCTATTTAATAGCATGATCCAGATTCACCTTTTACTGATGATGAACAAAGCCTCCCCGCAGTATGAGGAAAGCATGCACCGATACCAAAACGCTGCCAAGCTCTTCCAGGGGAAGGTAAGTCTGGAATGGCAGATACCCTTTTGAATACTCAGTTCCACGACACTAGAGAAAGGGAGATGGGTTCAGGGAGACTAGATAAATAAGGAAAGTGAGTACGCTTAAGAGATCATGAAATAAGAACTTGGACATAACAAATCACACTACTCTTTTTTAAAATTAAAGATGTTGCCATTGCTCTATTAGGTATTTACCCAAAGGATACAAAAATATGGATGCAAAAGGGTACATGCACCCCAATGTTTATAGCAGCATTATCAACAATAGCCAGCCTATGGAGAAAGCCCCAATGTCCATCAACTGATCAATGGATAAAGGAGATATGAGATACACATAACATATATAATGGAATAATACTCAGTCATCGAAAAGAATGAAATCTTATCATTTGCAATGATGTGGTTAGAGCTAGAATGTATTATGCTAAGCAAAATAAGTCCGTCAGAAAAAGGCAAATACCATATGATGTCACTCATATATGGAATTTAAGAAATAAAACAAAGAACATATGGGAAGTGAGGGGTATAAAAGAGAAGAGAGGGAAACAAACCACAAGAGACTCTTGATGACAGAGAACAAACTATGGGTTGCCAGAGTGAGGTGACGGCACTTGTGATGAGCACTGGGTGTTGTATGTAAGTGGTGATTCATTGAATTCGACTCCTGAAAAATAAAAAATAAATTTGAAAAGGCTGATGAATGAGTTTCCTAAAAATAAAAAAAAAATTAAAACTTAAAAAAAGGTACAAATATTTTCAATATGAATAAAATGAAATGAAGCAATAAACATAAACTTTTTTGCTTGAAAATTCCAAATGTTAAATTAAGTTAAGTTAATTAAAGTTAAAGATGTATTTCATACTATTAAAGACCTTTATAATCTTATCTTCCCTTGGTGGTGAGTCTATTTTTTTTTTTTTTTCTGTATTGAAAAGCGAAGAAAAAATAGAGACCTAAAGATGCTGAAAATAAAAATCACCCTCGGGGCGCCTGAGTGGCTCAGTCGGATAAGCGTCCGACTTCGGCTCAGGTCATGATCTCATGGTTCGTGGGTTCGAGCCCCGCATCGGGCTCTGTGCTGACAGCTAGCTCAGAGCCTGGAGCCTGCTTCACATTCTGTGTCTCCCTCTCTCTCTGACGCTCCCTTGCTCACACTGTCTCTCTCTCTCTCTCTCTCTCTCTCAGAAATAAATAAAAGATTAAAAAAAATTTTTTTTTTTTTAAATCACCCATTAGTCACTATTTAATTATTCTTTTCCATTGCCTCTTAAAGTTTTAAACTCAGGACTTATTTCTCATATAAAGCACCTATCATACCTGGGGCCTACTAGATGTCTAATAAATGTTTATTTCTGTCCCTTCTCTACTTTGCATCGTTCTGTTTGGTATCACTGAAATGGTAAAACTTAACCCAGTTCAAGGCTAGTGCATTAAACTAGAGACATTTTCAATGCTGACAACTGTCTGGTAGGAACATAAACTGACTCTGGTAGTTGTTTCCCTAACACTGGAAGTTTTGAGTGTTTCTAAATGTAGACGATCCTCTAACAAGAATATTATAAAGATTTCTCCTTTGGATACAAGGTTTGATTTAATAATATAAAATAGTTGACGTTTATCAAGCAGTTATCATATGCTTAACCGACTGAGCCCCCCCCGGTGCCCATAGGCAGTTACCATATGTAAAAGCTAAACTGGAAATACTAGATGGATCCTCTCACTTCATCTCCCCCAACGGAAGCCTATTTTGCCAGTGAGAACACGGAGTCTCAGAAAGGCTGAGCACCGTGCCAAAGTCACACAGCTAGAAAGTACCAGAAACAAAACTTAAAATGTGTTATCTGCCTTTAACCATGAGGCTTCTTTAGCTAAAGTTGCTTCCAATTCTGTGTTCTTAAAATTTTGTGCACCTGATCAAAAGGGTAAAATACCAAAGCAGTGAAAAACAGGAAGAAATCCATTCAGTTGGATGACACAGAACATAAGTTCAATGAGTGTAAGCTGCAACAATTATGAGAAGTCTCTTTCTCCTCCGGACCTCAGATAGATGTTTCCCTTCAAACCTCTCCAACTGCAGATTCTTTTCATTCTGGTGGACAGTGGTGTGAAGGCCAACGGGAAAGTGATCTCATTTTTCAAACTAAGGGAGTCTCAACTGCCCGCTTTGGCAATTTACCGGACTGTAGATGAGGAGTGGGATACGCTGCCCAGAGCAGAAGTTTCAGTGGAGAACGTGCAGACCTTCTGTGATGGATTTCTAGAAGGGAAACGGCTGGTAAGTGGGAGACTTCAGGTAGAGCAAGTTGAATTTTCCGCTTTATGTCCTCTTATCTCCTGGTGCATAAAACTTCTTGAGGCTCTACTGGATTTGACTAAGGGCAAAAGTATATGAGGATATGGTGGACAGGATCAGAGGCTTGTTAGGATAGAATCGTGAGAAGAGAACTACACGTGCATCTTTGGAAATGTCTTGCACATTCAAAGGAGCTGAAAATGGGGTTTTACCCTTCTGTAAAACATAACATTCCTATAGATAAGAGCTCATGAGATGAAAATTAAAGGTGAATTAAGGAGTTCTTAAATAGCTCCGTTTGCTGATTTTTTAAAACCAAGAGCCCCGGGGCGCCTGGGTGGCTCAGTCGGTTAAGCGTCCGCCTTCGGCTCAGGTCATGATCTTACAGCTCCTGGGTTCAAACCCGCGTCGGGCTCTGTGCTGACAGCTAGCTCAGAGCCTGGAGCCTGTTTCAGATTCTGTGTCTCCTTCTCTCTCTGACCCTCCCCTGCTCAAACTGTCTCTCTCTCAGAAATAATTTTTTTTTCAAAACCATAAAAAAAAAACCCAAGAGACCCAAATCTAAATAACAATGTCATGATGTTTTTCAGAGAGAAAATCGTGAATCAGAAGAAAAGACTCCAAAGGTGGAACTCTGATCTCTCCCTGATACTTGCACGTACTACTAAGAACTTACACAATATAAAAAAAGGGCAACTCAAACTTCAGAGACACTCACCAATAGGATCAACAGGCCTTACACACAACACACACACACACACACACACACACGTCCATTTTGTTCCTTAAAATCTCATTTCCTTTCCTTTCCTTATCCTTTCTTTTAAGTTGTGCACACTCTCTGAGTACCCATCCAATCTTCTTCTATGCATTCATACTGTGTAGTCCCATACACAGCAACACACACCACTGAATGGAGCCTTTAAGAGGAATATTGCGATATCTCTTTGATGGGGAGGCATTCCCGGAGGGAGGATGGTCTGATTTGTCCTTTAATATTGAATCTGTACCCTGCACAGGATGTACATGCAACATAGTTTCCGCTCTCTAGCTGTTACTTAAGGGTTGAAACTCTACCTTCTTCATGAGCACATGACCCTCTCTAACTCCCAACCCAGAACAAAAAGAAAGTTTAAGTACCTTTTGCAGAATTGCCTTTTTGCCAGTCAAACGAGGTTTTCAAGTCTCTAAACTCAGCAGAAACAGACTAGGTAAAAACTCTATGCTTGTTTAGCGTTCCTAACTCTCCATGTGAATCAACAACCGCACAATAAATAAAAAGCAGTAACGTTATAGGAAAAGACTGGCATCTCTTTGCAGGCCAAACCTTTTGTAAATACCCAGCTGCCCAATTAAGCAGTAGGTACCTCACCCTTCGGGGCCCACTGTTTAGTGTCAGGCCCTGAGCCACTAATGTGTTATTGTTAACTCGGTGGGTGGGATGGAGGGTGGGTAGAGCCCATCCTGAATGAGGATTGGTATCAATGTAGCAAAAGAGCTAGGAATCAGCTTGGGGAATAGGTCAGGGAGGGGCATTTGGCTCTGGGGCGGGTTGGGGCTGACTAGGCGTGGATTATCGCAGGTAAAGTGTGCAATCCGGCCCTTGTGAGACAGAGGGGGAGTCTGGCTGAGTGTCTCTGGCCTGCAGGCTGTTACTGTCAACACACAGATGCTGCATTGTTCCCAGAAGGCCCTTGGCTCGGAAGGAAAGGGCCTAAGTGCTGAAGAGCTGAAAAACCACAGTGTACACCTTAAGGATTGGTCCAAGTGAGGAACAGGGAATGAAAGACTTCGTTGTTCCTTTCTGTGGGGAAAACTCCACAGCCTCTGAGCAGGGAGTGGACAGCTGGCAAGGACACTATGAAAGCAGCAGTGTATGGCGTGCCTCACAGCAACGTGAGACTGACGGATTGTGAGGAGGCCATCCAGCCCAGCCATGGGGAGGAAACCACCCAGTCTTCTCGCTTGAGGCTAAAAAATATTCCTAGGATAGGCACATCCCAGAAGCCTCTCTTTGATCCTGTAAACCAGAGCCCTTGACATTTGCAGTCAGGAAATTCTTCCTGATACTCCGCTGAAATCCTCTGGCCACACAAACCTGTTTCTTCTTACCTGCAGTCCATGGAAATTCTTAACAGCTGCCAATCACCATCTCCGGGTGGCACCTCCAATTCTCGCTGGTTGCGCTTGACCTCCCCATCTGGTCTTGTTTTCTCCCTACCTACAATCCAACTCTCCAACTAATTGGCTTTATTTCCAAGTCACTTGATTAGCTTTATTATTTTTCTGTCTTCCTTGTTTCTCAAATTTCCTTCTTTTTTGTCTTAAAATAACAGATTCCAAACCGCTGTAGGAATTTGGTGAATGTTCAAAGATAAACTCCCGTGGACTAACCCAATATTCCACATTGGTCCACACTGACCACATCTTTGTACTGCCTTTTGCTGCTTGATGACATTTGACAGCAATTTTATTATATATTGTCTTTTAATGCTTCCTTTTATCTTTATTGCATTGAACTGAATTGTTCCTTCAGTTTATGGTACTCCAAAACTGTGAGATATTTTTGCCTGTCTCTTTCACAGCCAATCTGGTTTTTGTAGCTCTGGTGACTCAGGACCAAAGAATGGAACATTTTCAGAAAGAAGAAATTTCTAAAATTTCTCATTCATTCATTGAATATCAGACTTAGTACTAATAAAGTTCTATAATTTCTAGATCTTCTCTGTCTTTGGGTAACATCTTCCTAAGACTTTGCATTCTTTCCCCAAGATCATGTTATTGTTGAAATACCTAGACATATGTTAGCTACTTTTCGTTATGGACTCATTCTTTAGTCCGAGCTCGCAAGAAATTGCCATACTTTTGTTTAAAGTATAAAGGAAGTGGTGATGTCATACAATAGAACTTTGTAAAAGATATTGGAAGAGAGACTGTGAAAGAAGAAGTCGAGAAACAGGACATGATTGAGAGGAATGCCAGGAAAATTTGTGTTTGAGTCTCATCTCTTCTGTGCATGGGACTCTGTGACCTTGGAAAACACTATCTTTAAATTTCAGTTCATTGAGGGCGATACAATTGTTCGTAGGATTTTTTGAGATCCCAGGCTGATAATACACATGAAGTAAAGTCTGCTATTGCTTTTATTTTTTAACATAATACTACACTGACTTCTGTGGGTAATAGGTATTTCTCCAATAGTCAGAACTTTTAGAAAAGGAGAGGCTTCCTTCAGAGTCTTAAAAGAACTAGCATTGGAGGCCTCACACTTCAGATTAGAGAAGTATTTGAAATAACTATTTTAAAATTTAGATTTTGGGAGCACATTGTTTGAAAATTTAGATTTTGGGAGCACACTACTTTAAAATTTAGATCTGGGGAGCACCTGGATGGCTCCGTTGGTTAAGCGACCGACTCTTGGTTTCAGCTCAGGTCATGATCTCATCGTTCTGTGAGTTCGAACCCCACATTAGACTCTGTACTGACAGTGTGGAGCCTGCTTGTGATTCTTTTTCCCTCCCTCTCTCTCTTAAAATACATAAATAAAGTTTTAAAATAATAATAAAATAGGGACGCCTGGGTGGCTCAGTTGGTGAAGCGTCTGACCTCAGCTCAGGTCATGATCTTGCAGTCCACGAGTTTGAGCCCCGCGTTGGGCTCTGTGCTGACAGCTTGGGGCCTGGAGCCTGCTTTGGATTCTGTGTTCCCTACCTCTCTGTGCCCCTCCCCCACTCATGCTCTGTCTCTCAAAAATAAACAAATGTTAAAAAAAATAATAATAAAATAAATAAATAAATAATAAAATGTACATTTTAGTGTTGCTCAGGCATGGTGAAGCCAACAGATCAGGAGGCAATCGACATTGAAAAGATAATCTGTTACAGTTTCCAAGAGGAGGGAACATGCCATACCATGGGGAAGGACCAGGGTTGGTCAGGAGGCAGAATGAGCAAGGGGAAAATATAGGCAATAGCCTTTATTGTGCTTTGTGTGGGAAGGAACAGTCAAGGGCAGGTAAGCAGGCTTAAGACTGGCCGCTTTGAATAATATCAGCTGTCCCTAGCTGTCTGGCACCTGCTCCTGGGGTGATAAGAGCAGGTGCGTAGTGGCCCAGAGTGTGAGAGCCCAGCGAGAGCTCCGTTAAAGCAGGTTTGGAGGGTATGGGCTCCGGCTTGGTGGGTTTGCATCTGACAGACACTCAGGCCGGAGTGAGTTGTTGACCATCTCTGCGAATTGGCCAGCCTCAAGGGGAGCAATCTCTCCTGGCTCGGCAAGGCCTCAGGTGTCCCAGCAGAAGCACTTGGTTAACACAATACTCTAACATTCATCTGTCATGGGACTCCTCTCCCAACTCACCTAGTTTGGTCCTGCTACAAAGGAAGCCATGTTGTTTTCCTGCAGCCTCCTGTTTAGACACGTTTACCTTGAATGGATGCGGGCAGGGTGGGTGCTAAGTGGTGTATTATGAGGGAGCAGTTTATTGATTCGTATTCTCATCCGCTTATTTAAATGCTTACCAACCAAGTTTAAGTGTGCCACGCAAAATTGCCTCCTAAGAGAGAAGGGTTAGCTGTACAACGGGGACGTTTCCGTTATAGAAACAACAAGCAGCAGGGAGGCCATCAGACTGACTCTAGGTCATGGACAGGAGAGGGAGGAGAAAGAGAGGGACCGGAGACTGGCAATAAGCCAAGAAGTCTCAGTGTTAGGGGAGAGTGACCACAAAGAAAAATAGTCTGCTGCAAAAGGGAAGAGACTCATCACGGACAAACTATTTCACAATGAGTTTGGAACCAGCCCTATTTATTTATTTTACCTTTCTGAAAGTATCTGGTTTTCGAAGCAAAGACAAATAAAACAGGGAGTGGGATGTATCTGACCGATGCTCCTAATTACAGTACTAGTACATTTCTAGAGAATAGAAAAAAGGAAGAATTTAAAAACCTCTTCTGAGTTTTGAACTTTTGGAGAAAAGCTACCCTAGAAATCAAACAAATGAATTTTAGAATCTTACCCCTGTAAATCTGAAGGAGAGTCCCCACCCTTCAATTCATTTCCAGGATAGCCCAGTGTCTCCCTCTTTTCTTTCCATTCTGTCATTGCTTCCATGGGTTTGACAATCAAAAGTCTGAGTTACACCAGGAGTGAAGGTAAGTAAGGAGGGGACAGGAAGGACGAAGGAGTTAAGCTACTTCTATAGGTTACGAAAAGTGTGGAATCCAAACTTTAATGTTTCATTGTCCAGTTAGTTGCACTAGTCTTTTTTTGAATTGAACAACTGACATAAAATAGTGTATTTGTTTCAGGTTTATAGCATAATGATTTGATATTTATATACGTTATGGTCACCACAAGAAGTCTAGTTATCGTTTGTCACCATACAGAGTTATTACAATGTTATTACCTGTATTCCCTATTCTGTGCCTTGCATCCCATGTCTTATTTATTTTATAACTGGACGATTGTACCTCGTAATCCCCTTCACCTATCTTGCCTCCCAATCTACTCCATCCTTCATACGTAGATAAGTGAAATTGAATGGCATTTGTTTTTCTATCTATTTCACTTACGTAATTAATAGTCATTAGGTCCATCCATGCTGTTGTAAATGGCAATATTTCTTTCTGTTCTCATGGCTGAGTAA